GAGAGAGAGAACAGGAGAGAAAGAGCGGGTGGAGACGAGAGATGGTGAGAAACAGAAAGGGAGGAGAGAGAATGCGAGTAGAAGAGGGCAAGGAGAAGAAAAGAGAGGGACGGAGAGAGGGGGAGAGAGAGAGAGGGAGGAGAGAGAGAGATGGAAGAGAAAGGGAGGGACGGAGATTTAGATGGAGAGAGAGGAGAGAGATGGAGAGAAAGAGAGGGAGCGAGAGAGAGATGGAGAGAAAGAGATGGAGGGAGAGAGAGGTAGGTAAGAGAGATGGAGAGAAAGGGAGGAGGAGAGAGAGGAATTAGGTAAGCGAGAGATCGAGAGAGAAGGGAGGGAAGGGAGAGAAATGGAGAGAAAGAGAGGAGAGAGGAGGGTATAGAGACGGGGAGGACGAGTGTGCGCCGTCATTAGGTAAACGATTAATGGTTCGTAGCGCCACCTGTTAGCCATATAATAGAGAAATATAATTGTATCTCGATTATTAATATACATAAGATTAATGCGCTAGGGGTAGGGGATATTGCATGCACAGACCACGCAACACCACACACACACACAGTACATGACCTTTTGAGATTTAGGCATGGCGATACTACAAATGGGCACGGGACATGGCCAATTTTGCGGACAAACCGTACGTTTGGGCACGTGGCGTAGCCGATGGGCTCAGGTGGGCTAGGTTTGAGGGGTTGGGGCAGTCCCCCAAAGAAAAATTTTGAAAATATTTAAGCGCATTTTTGGCCAATATTTGAGGCGTTTTTTGGGGGGGGGGCGAGCGCCCCACCGCCCCGCGCCCTGGCTTACGGACATGATGTTATTTATACTTTATATTCGTTTTTGGATTTCACATGACTCACGACGGGCCGCCACTCTCCAATTAAAGGAACTGCTAAGAGAAAGGTATTTCTTCATTTACTAGTTTCCGTATCACAAACCACCCTCCAGTTGGAAAATATTCTAACATTTTGTTAACTGTAAGAATAATTAAGACTTCCGTCGGCTATCCGATTGTGCATCATGTTTCGTCGGTCAGAAACCCAACAAACCTAGAATATTCACGTCTCATAAACGTTCCTTTAATTCATAAATGCTTACGTTCGTTAAATACTAGGTGCACCTGTTAGACATTTCCTATTGTATATATATATATTATTTTTTTTAAATAATTGACTATATAATAATATATCACGAATTATTATTCTTGGTAATTATATAATAAATAATAGACTCATACAGACATTTCCATGGCGAATCACTGATGGGCTGCCACACTACAATTAAAGGAGGAACTGCTAAAAACAAAGGTATTTGTTTATTTACTATCACATAATACCCTTGAAATGGGAAAACAATTCTAAACAAAATTTGCTCCATATACCTGCGTTTGCATACGTCACATTGTAAGGACAAGTGGGGCTTACCTCAGCTATGCAATCCTAACTGAACTTTTTTTCATTACAAATTTTCATTCATGTTTTGCCAGTCAGATTTCCAACAATCTTAGAATATTCACGTCTCGTAAACATTACATGTTTGAATAAATTAAAATCCTATTGCTTATTATGTCAAGTACTTAATCAATTGCCTGTCATATGTTTCCTCATTGTTAGATCACGTGCAGCCTATTCACGCGTCCACGTTCACAGCCACACGACCGCCCTCGCCTGGTGAGAACCACACTAGCTCTAGCATCAAGCTTAGCGCCCCCTGGTGGGACCAATGACTCTCTACCCATCAAGCTTCGGCCGCCCGCTTGTGAGACACACCACTTCTAGACAGCAAGCTTAGGCGCCCCGGCTGGGAGACACATCAACACTACATCAAAGGCGCTAGCGCCCCATGGGTTCAGACCATGACTCTCTACATCAAGGACTCGGCCGCCCCCTGGTAGAGACCACACCAACTCTACAACAAGCTTAGCGCCCTGGTGAGACCAACCGACTCTATCATCAAGCTTAGCGGCCCCCTGGTGAGACCATCGACTCTCTACACATCAAGCTCACGCGCCCATGGTGAGGACCACACCAAGCTCTAAGCATCAAGCTAGTGCCCTGGTGCGACCACACCACTCTACATCAAGCTTAGCGCCCTCTGGTGAGACCACACCATTCTATATCAAGCCAGAATACTGTGACGTAGTGCGAGGATCTCTCCTACACCCTAGTAGAGGAATGCTGCAGAAGAGGAGAAGCAGGAGTGGAGGAGGCAGAGGGAGCATGATGCACGCCGATTCGCGTCGGGGCCTTCTGAGAAAAACCATCATAAGCGACGGTTACAGTATTTTCTAATAAAATTTCATGTTTTTTTATAACTATTTTCTGGGCGGCATTGTATGCTAATCTTGTATTGTATGCTCAGACCCGTACGTATGAGCACGTGGTCTCGCGTTTTACGTGTACGCTTGCGGCGCGTTGTCAGAAAGTTCATTTTAGAAGTTATGGCATGTCGAGTTAGTTGCTGTAATAAACTAGAACTAGATCTAGAACTAGCACTAGCACAAGAACGGGAACTAGAACTAGACAACATCACTAGTACTAGCACTAAACAACTAGAACTAGAACAAGAACAAGAACAAGAATTAGAACAAGAACTAGAACTAGAACAAGAACAGGAACAAGAACAAGAACAGGAACTATAGACCATAGAACTGGCACTAGCACTAGCATTAGGGCTAGAACTAGAACTACAAAAGAACTGTACCCACCAAATACAGAACTAGAACTAGTAACTAGAACTAGAACTAGACGCAAGAACTAGAACTAGTTTCTGACATAGCTTCCTGATACATCCACGTGAATGAAACATTCTAAATAAATATACTACAACTTAATTGTTCGATGTAACTCTTTATATGTGTTCCTTATTTAGAGGCTGTCCACAGCTACTTAAATCTATATCACTAAACAAAATGTTAAACATAGAACGTAAACTCGTCGTTGGTGTTGTTGTCTGGTGGTGCTGACACGGGGTACTGACCTTGTCCAAGGCTGTGGCCTTGAGCTCAAGGCTATGGCCTTGACCCACTTTTTTAATTTTTAGAAGTTTTATATAAGTAGGTCAAGGCCATGGCCTTGAGCTCAAGGCCATTTCCTTTTTTTAGTTTTAAAGGTTTTAGAATAATGGGCCAAGGCCATAGCCTTGAGCTCAAGGCCATTACCTTGACCACTTTTAAAATGTTTACATTATCAGGTCATGATCCCTACCAAGGACAAGGTCAATGTATGTTTACATTTCTTCTAACAACAGTCTGAAAATATTTAACAATGGTAATTGACGAGATTAGAACCCAGGATTTTTGACTTTCAAACCATCGCGCTACTCACGCGCCCAAACCTACCATTCATAAAGTTTCTAGATCGGACGTGTGTGTTATATTTTACTTAACAACAGTTAGAAAATATTTTACCATGGTAATTGGCAAGATTTGAACGCCCGACTACTGACTCGCAGTCTAACACGCTACGCACTGACCCGAACATTCCATTCACGGTTTATTCAGATCAGACGTGTGTGTTATGTTTTCATTTACTAATAAGGAAAGATAAACAAGAACTCTAATGTTGATGCAGGGTTTTTACCGTGCAGGGTTCTCAATGCGACCATTTATATATATATAAATAATGTGTGTGTGTGTGTGTGTGTGTGTGTGTGCGTGCGTGCGTGCGTGCGTGCGCGTGTGCGTGTGCGTGCGCGTGTGCGTGCGTGCGTGCGCGCGCGCGTGCGTGCGTGTGTCTGTGTGTGTTTACATGCACCACTTATTTTCCCGGATGCCCCACATGTAAAAATATTTCTTGCAAAAAAGATGGAAACGATCAATTTAATATCCACGTGACAACGAAAAAAACAATCATTTCTTAGCTTATGACATATTTGCGGAATCGACCGGAGAAAAAACACAAACTGTTCCACATTTTTGAGCACCACCATATTAATTTCTTCACTAAACAGAAAATTTAGTGATTGATATCATATTACTTGTCATTAGAAGACAGAATATGACAGTTTTCCTCCTTTTACACATTCCGCGTGCAAGCAACTCACAGACACAAGATACATGCACTCGCGCACACACATTCACGTACATGCACTACTACACACACGCACACGCACGACACTCACACACATTACACGCACATGTACATGAAACGCGCGTACACGCATACGCGCACAGGCATACGCGCACACGCGCGCACACAAGTAAATGCACACGTACACGTCACACGCACATGCATACACGTACGCACAAGCACACACATTTACGCGCGCACGCACGCACACACGCACACACGCCCGCACACACACACACTCACACACACACGCACGCACACACGCACACATCAACGCGCATATCTTCCTAATTAGCTTGCTAGTATATGGAGTCGCTTTTTGCTAGGCTCGCTACTGCTACTCCGATATACTGTTAGTTATATACAACAATTCATTCACGACGCGCTTTCTTTTAACAAACACAAACATAAAAGGTTTCAACTGCAAACGTTGCTTTGCTGGATCTTGAATTAATAGTGTGTCGAATCGTCGATGCTGATTTATCAATGAGGGACCCCGTCCATGATGTTCAATACGCTATTTCGGGATGCTTGCTTATACCTCTACGCCTCCTTCTACCACGTTCTGACTATAATGCAGCTTATGTCAGTATCAGTAATGGTCAGCTCGTTGTGTCACAGAAGATCTGAAAATATGACTTACATGTAAAATGGCTGATATGAAAATATGATCTGAAATATACTGCGTGTAATATATCTAACTGTAATAACTCTAGTGTATATTACAAAGGCAAACCCAGAATTTTGGGATGGGGTACGTGGCTGATAGAAGACCACATTACGATCCGTGAAGGGGAGATGGGAAATGGGACATGGGACATGGGACATGGGAGTTTGCGTGTAACCCCCCCCCCTGGATATTGTATGTAAATATAGAGTGCATCAGGTAACAAACCACAGACATCTTTATAATCTATTACCTGTTTTGAGTGAACGCTTTCTTTCCTCAAGAGAATTTTATATGTTTTCAAAATGCAGTCAAGAACACACTTATCACAGCGTTCTAAACGAAGGAAGCTCTTTTAGCGGCAGTATTTCACGCAGCTGGGCGATATGCCATTTCTACTCTAAGCTATGCATATTTCCTGTATTTTTTGGCTATAGGCCTACATGTTACGCTTTGCTATATCTGTTACCATTATCAGTCAGAATAAACAGATGAGGTGCCTAACTAGTAACTTCCCAAAAATCCTCCCAATTCCACTACCGTATTAATCTATGTTGTAGTCGATATCCTATGTATCTAATTTATAACTTACTTTCCGTAGTATGACTCGCCGATGGCCGTATTTTTGTAAATACACAGTACCATACACAAGCAAGCCACGTTTTTGCCATGTGCTTGATAGAAGTAATGCCGTACAAGTCACGTGTCCACTTAACGTCATCATATTTAGCGAGAAAGAAGCCCATCACGCCCACACGAGAACCGGTGTAAATTACGTTTAAGAAGTTTAATCTGTTTTACATACTTTTAAATTATTTTGGCCGAGAGATGGCGCTACGAGGTTATTTTTTACTACAATAAACCTCTTCAATAAAATAAATAATACCATGGCGAACAACACATACAAAATTCTTTAACTCTGTAGTTGATGTGGTGTACCCTCATAATGACCCTCGCCTCCTCTTTCTATATTCCTTTCTTCCTTCTTCTCCTATCATCTTACGCTCACTTTTCCCCGCTGCCATCTCTATCGGCACGTCTCTCTCACTCTCTCCTTATCTCCCATTCCATCTCCTTCTCTCTCCCTCCCGCCGCCTCTATCATTCTGTCTGTTTTCTCTTCCTTTTCGCTTGCATCCCCACTCCTCTCGCGGATGGTATCGTCCACGGCATCGATAGCTCGGTCGATTACTGCTTGGTTTTCGGCCGAACATTTACAGCGATAATACGCGAGCGTACAAGCGCGTGACCATGCGTGCGTGCGTGCGTTCGTATGTGTGTTTGTGTGAATCTGTGATATTGAATATGAATATTATAGGCGTATATTCACATTTTACGATGGCGAAACAGTTTTAACCGAAAAACGGCTAGCGACCAGGTGGTAATACGGCACGCAGACAATAGCATATAAGCAAGAAGGAAGAGAAATAGGAAGACAGGGAAAAGGTGTGAGGCGAAGAGAAAGCGGGGAAGACGGATGGAAAAATGGAGAAGCGAAGAGGGAGAGGAGGTAGAGGGGCGTGGGAGATTGTGGAATAAGAGCATGAAAGCGTGATAACCGTGCACATTTGGCTAATCATATATCAAACCAAGCCCCAATCCACAATATCTGGGTGTAACGTGGTTATCTTGTTCTAACAGAGGGGGCAATTACGAAACATGGTTGATCTCTTGAGATTCAACGTTACCTGTGTCATTATGTGCATACACATATGACGAGAGAGTTGGGGTTTGAATCGCACTCCACATTTTTGTAGATGTACATCTCCCTTTTCAATCCATTCACGTCACGTCCAATCTCGGTTCACAACATGCGGAGCTTTAAGTCGCATGATGAGCTCTTCTAAACACGAATCACATAAAGTAACTTGTTATTTATTTGTTGAGTAATATGCTTATTTGCTTATTTGGCTTATTTAGCATTACGAACTCACACTGTAGCCACGTATTATATAAATGGCTTGCAGTTGTGAAGCGA